AGCTGTGGACAAGCCACCTGTCAGAGTAGAACTGTACTCCATAGAGTTTTCAATGGCTGATTATTCAGAAGTATGTTGTCATGTTTTTCTTTTCAGGCACCTCTGGGTGGCCTTAAACCTCCAACTTTTCGGTTAGCCGCTCAGAGCTTTAACCGTTTGCACCACCCAGGGACTCTAAGGAATAGGACCAGTTTTTGAACAAAATAAACAGCACTGAACAAATAATCGCCGAACAGCACAAAGTTGCAAAGGGAGGGCAACAGCTATAAACCCCGCATTCGGAACTTGGAGCCCGAAGAGGGTCCCTACTGATCCTGGCGTTCCCACGGGCACAGATGAGAAAGTGAAGTCACACAGATATTACACGCACACACAACTTATACACACACATACAGCGCGAACCCACAGTCGCGAGCAGAGCTTCTCCAGCCTCCCGCCTGCCCACAGTGAAGTCTGAACCTCAGAATCCCGATCCCCTCACCTGAGCAGAGCGCGTCAGGAGGGAGATTCCAAATCTCGCGGTATCTCGTCCTCTTCTCCCGTTAATTCTGGCTGGCGAGCAGCCTCAGGAGAGCCGCTAGGTAGTTGCGTGATCGCGCTGCCTTCTGGGAATTGTAGTCCATTTGTTTCCTGGGAATTGTAGTCCACACGGCAGAATCCTGAGGTGATCTTTGCCTCCTACTTTTGGCATTTCTGGGAGCTTTGGTGGTGCAGTGCCTAAGGCGTTTGACTATTAACCAATAATAGTCAAGGATGGTAGTTCAAACCCCCCCCAGCCACTCTGTGGAAGGAACACTGGGCAATATACTTCCACAAGCATTTGTCGCCTCCAAAACCCAAAAGGGGTCATTAGGGGCCAGAATTGACTAGATGGCACTGAGTTTGGTTTTTGATTTGGTGGTACCCCCAGGCCCTGGCCTAATTGCCAGTCTTCCCCAACCACCTGACCTCCATCCCACACATACATACTGCTCATCACTCTGTCACTTAACACTGGATATTTACCAAACCTCTGGTAGTCAAGTGCCTAAAGCACTTTACTGCTAACCAGGAGGCTGGTGGTTTAAAAACCCACCAAGCACTCCTCGGAAGGAAGGTTGGGCAGTCTACTTCCGTAGTGATACTGTTTCATAAACCCAAGGAGGGGTCGCTATGAGTTGGATCCAACTAGACGGTAGTGAGTTTGGTTTGGTCTGTGTTCTATGTGTACAGAAACCCACTGCCATGGAGTCGATTCAGACTCACAGCGACCCCCATTGGGTTTCCAAGATGGCAAATCTTTATGAAAATAGATTGCTCCGTCTTGTCTTCTTTCCTTGGAGAGTGGCAGGTGGGTTTGAACAGCCAACCTTCTGGTTAGCAGTCAAATGCCTTAGGCATTGTGCCACCAGAACTCCTTTCTAGGTGCACGGGGATGGAGATAAATCAGACATGTCCCAGCTCTCAAGGCAAAGATACAGAAAAAAGCCCTCAGTGGGAAGGCAGAGCAACCTGTGGAAACAATAACTCAGGGTAGGAAACCTCTCTCAACGGAGTCACTTGAGGTGACTCTTGAAGGATGGCCAGGAGTTCTGAGAGAAAGGGGGCCAGAAAAGCATTCCAAGTGGAAGGCATAACACTGGCAAAGGGAAAGCACAGGAGAAAGTATGTTGGGAACACTTCCGCCTGCCTTCTTCATTCTCCAGCATTCACAGGCTCCCAGGATCCTTTGTGTTTTCTGAGGCTGCTCAACCAACCACCTGTTTCCCAGGGTATTTGCTGAGGTGGAGACGTATGCTCTGCCCTTCTTGCCCCTGCCCAGTGAACCATCTGAACCACAGCCCCTCAACCCACTGATTCAGCCTATTCCTTCACTTCCTTCTCAGGGGTCCTGAGAAACAGAGAACTTCCTCCTAACCGGCAGGAGGTATCTGTGGCAATTTTGAGGGCCCCTTAAAAAATGAATCACTCAGAAGTATGGCTTTTGGCCCCAAGGAATGACAAGCCACAGAACAATCCCATCACTGTATGCCCATACCCCACATCCCATAGTGAGGTACCATGCAGTCACTATGCAGACTCAGATGAAAACACATGACACAACAGGACACAAAGGGCCAAATGTTCCCCTTTATTAAGGTTCACTCAGTTACCTTGCACAGACAAACTGGCTCAGGCAGGTCAGCTGCCAGCTAGGGAATGGTCTGTCTCCCAGAAACAAGGAGAGGCAGTGGACACCAGGAGAATGCGAAAGCGGGTCACTGGCTGGCCAGACTTCAGGGTCCCCATAACTGACCTAGGCCCACCCCACCTTTCACCCTAACCCCCCAAGCCAGGCCATCCAGCAGACATGAATCTGTGCCCAGCCCCCATTTCTCATACTAGTCCCCTCCCCAGGAAAGTGCATAGTGAGATGCAGCACCCAGGGCCTGGATAAGCTGGGCCACACACAGGTCTTCCCAAAGGCAGAGCCAGGCCATAGCTTTACAAGTCTAAGCTAAGGAAAGAGGAAAGGCAGGTAGGACAGGAAAATCAAATAGGTACCACCAACTAGGTCATGGATGCCAAGCAGGCAGCTGGACCACAAGCCTTTTGAGAGACTTAGGGAAAAGGAAGTTAGAGGTTTAAGGTAGGGAAGGGAAGGAAGGAAGGGCCTGGACCTAGGACCCCTTTTCAGATACCAGCTGCTTTCCAGAAAGTAGGAGTGGAAAGGACTAATCACACTTCATGCCCCAAGCCCAAGGGACCACTAGGAAGTGAACTTTCCAGGGACCCTGGCTCCCTTTACAGGGAACTGAAGTACCTGGAGTTCAGAGCTCACAAGGTACCACCTAGAAGCCCAAGTGTTGGGTTCCAAGCTGAAGCCAGTTAAGTGGGTTTGTTTTTTAGGTCAAATATCCCAGATGGGCTTCTGGTAGAAGGGGGCAGTGGGAAATGGACAAATGTTCCTTGAGTGAAAACCCACTCCCTTCCAGGTCTCAGAAAGGGCTGAGGCCTTTACCAGAAATGTTCTTATACTGTGTAGAACAGAACAGCCCCATTGGCCTGAATGACTCGCCTGGAAGGGGAAGCAGATTCTGACAGGGTAAGGAAGAGCCAAAACCAAGTCCAGTAAGAAGAAGGGACAAAGTTACCTT